GCAGAGGGTATTATAATTTCAGTCAGAAGTTTGCAACGCAGTGAAGGAGACATCTCCGACCCTATAAAGTATATATATTCTTGATCAGTACACTAGGAGCGTCGATCTAGCCATGACCGTCTGTTCGTCCGTCTGTCCGTCCGTTTGAATGCATGAAACTTTCCCAAAAGTTATCTTTCTATTGCAGGTAGCATATAAGTCGGAACAAGCCGGATCGGACGACTATAGCATATAGCTCCCATAGAAACAATCGGAAAAATAAATTTAAAAAATTATTACTTTGGTGATTTTTAATTTTTTTGTAAGATCTTCGAGATATAGTAATGGTTAAATATTTCAGAATTACGGTTTAAATTTCATCAAAGCTCCCATGGGAACAACAAAAATATTAAAAAAAAAAATTTTAAATTTAACCTTTTTTATTTTGTATTTTTTAAATTTCATCAAAGTCGGATGACTATAGCATATAGCTCCCATAGGAACAATCATAAAAATAATTGTGATGTATTTTATTTTTTTTTTAGTTTTTCTAGATATAGTAATGGTTAAATATTTCAGAATTCGGTTTAAATTTCATCAAAATCGGACGACTATAGCATATAGCACCCATAGGAACAATCATAAAAAGAAATAAAAAAAAATTATAACTTTGGTGTTTTAAAATTTTTTTTTAGTTCTTCGAGATGTAGTAATGGTTAAATATTTCAGAATTACGGTTTAAATTTCATCAAAATCGGACGACTATAGCATATAGCTCCCATAGGAACAATCATAAAAAGAAATAAAAAAAATTATAACTTTGGTGTTTAAAATTTTTTTTTAGTTCTTCGACATACAGTAATGGTTAAATATTTCAGAATTAAGTTTTAAATTTTATCAAAATCGGACGACTATAGCATATAGCTCCCATAGGAACAATCGGAAAAATACAAGAAAAAAAGAATAACATTGCTGTTTTTAATTTTTTTAGTTCTTCGACATATAGTACTGGTTAATTATTACAGAAATACGGTTTAAATTTCATCAAAGCTCCCATGGGAACAATAAAAAAATTAAAAAATAAAATTTAAAAATTTAACCTTTTATATTTTGTATTTTTTTTTAAATTCTTTTTGATTATGTAAAACGATATCATATAACTGCCATAGTAAATAAAATAATTGAGCTGCAAATCATCATAGCTTCAATGATTTTAAACATAAACGAAAGTAAATCATAACTTTAATGTCTTCAAGAATATTATATTTTTGCAATAGCTTCAAGAGTATATGAACTACGGCTTGCCGAAGTTTGCTTCAATTCTTGTTTTTGCATATTTTACTTCTAAACAAGAAAGGAGGCAAACTTAGGCAAGCCGAAGTTCATATACCCTTGCAGCTATTGCAAAAATTAAATATTTTTTAAAACATTAAATTATGATTTACTTGCGTATATGTCTAAAAACATTGAAGCTATGATGATTTGCAGCTCAATTATTATATAGTTTTTTTATATATTTGTATTATTTCTATGGGAGCTATATGTTATACTCGTCCGATTTTGATGAAATTTAAACCGTAATTCTGAAATATTTAACCATTACTATATGTCGAAGAACTAAAAGAAAAATTTAAAAACAGCAAAGTTATAATTTTTTTTGTATTTGTTTTACGATTGTTCCTATGGGAGCTATATGATATAGTCGTCCGATTTGGATGAAATTTAAACCGTAATTATAAAATATTTAACCATTACTATATGTCGAAAAACTAAAAAAAAATTAGAAACAAGAAAGAAAGCAAACTTCGGCAAGCCGAAGTTCATATACCCTTGCAGCTATCGCAAGTATTAAATATTTTTTAAAACATTAAAATTATGATTTACTTGCGTATATGTTTAAAAACATTGAAGCTATGACGATTTGCAGCTTAATTATTTGATTGTTCTTTTATATATTTTTATTATTTGTATGGGAGCTATATGATATAGTCGTCCGATTTTGATGAAATTTAACCATTGCTATATGTCGAAGAACTAAAAAAAAAATTTAAAAACAGCAAAGTTATAATTTTTTTTCAATTATTTTTCCGATTGTTCCTATGGGAGCTATATGCTATAGTCGTCCGATTTTGATGAAATTTTAACCATAATTCTGAAATATTTAACCATTGCTAGATGTTGAAGAACTAAACAAAAAATTAAAAAACAGCAAAGTTATAATTTTTTTTCAATTATTTTTCCGATTGTTCCTATGGGAGCTATATGCTATAGTCGTCCGCTTTTGATGAAATTTTAACCATAATTCTGAAATATTTAACCATTGCTTTATGTCGAAGAACAAAACAAAAAATTAAAAAACAGCATAGTTATAATTTTTTTCAATTATTTTTCCGATTGTTCTTATGGGAGCTATATGCTATAGTCGTCCGATTTTGATGAAATTTAAACCATAATTTTGAAATATTTAACCATTGCTATATGTCGAAGAACTAAACAAAAAATTAAAAAACAGCAAAGTTATAATTTTTTTCAATTATTTTTCCGATTGTTCCTATGGGAGCTATATGCTATAGTCGTCCGATCCGGCTCGTTCCGACTTATATACTACCTGCAATAGAAAGACAACTTTTGGGAAAGTTTCATGCAGATAGCTTCAAAACTGAGAGACTAGTTTGCATATAAACGGACGGACAGACGGACAGACGGACGGACAGACGGACATGGCTAGATCGACTCTACTAGTGATGCTGATCAAGAATATATATACTTTATAGGGTCGGAAACGTCTCCTTCACTGCGTTGCAAACTTCTGACTGAAATTATAATACCCTCTGCAAGGGTATAAACAGCAACGCTCCGGCTCGTTCCGACTTATATACTACCTGCAATAGAAAGACAACTTTTGGGAAAGTTTCATGCAGATAGCTTTAAAACTGAGAGACTAGTTTGCGTAGAAACGGACGGACAGACGGACGGACAGACTGACAGACGGACAGACGGACATGGCTAGATCGACTCGCCTAGTGATGCTGATCAAGAATATATTTACTTTATAGGGTCGGAGATGTCTCCTTCACTGCGTTGCAAACTTCTGACTGAAATTATAATACCCTCTGCAAGGGTATAAAAAAAAAGTAGGAAACGGATTCATTTCATTTCAACATACATTTTAGTATAAGAAGATAAAACAAATGTAAGCCATTAAAAAATATTAAATGGCTTAAAATCTACGAACATTTAAAAATTTCATTTTTTGGTGACCTAGCTGCCAATATTAGTAAAATAATCCGTCCGTTTCCACGCAAACTAGTCTCCCAGACTCAACTAGTCTATCTGCATGAAACGTTCCCAAAAGTTGTCTTTCTATTGCAGGTAGTACATAAGTCGGAACGAGCCGGATCGGACGACTAAAGCATATAGCTCCCATAGGAACAATCGAAAAAATAAATGAAAAAAATGTACACGCATGCTGTTTTTTAGTTTTGTTAGTAATGGTTAATTAGTTCAGAAATACGGTTAAGATGACTTGCAGATTAAAGTTTCGATAGTTTCGATGACAGCTATATGATATCGTTATCCGATTTCAATATTATTAAAAGCTTAATTTTGAACTGTCGAATTATTAATAAGTCAAAAAGAATTAAAAAAAAATAACAAGATAGAAAAGTTACATTTAAAAACTAAATTTGTATACCCTTGCAGAGGGTATTATAATTTCAGTCAGAAGTTTACAACGCAGTGAAGGAGACGTTTCCGACCCTATAAAGCATATATATTCTTGATCAGCATCACTAGTAGAGTCGATCTAGCCATGTCCGTCTGTCCGTCCGTCTGTCCGTCCGTCTGTCCGTCTGTCCGTCCGTTTATATGCAAACTAGTCTCTCAGTTTTAAAGCTATCTGCATGAAACTTTCCCAAAAGTTGTCTTTCTATTGCAGGTAGTATATAAGTCGGAACGAGCGGGATCGGACGACTATAGCATATAGCTCCCATAGGAACAATCGGAAAAAAAAATGAAAAAAAAATGATAACTTTGCTGTTTTTTAATTTTTTGTTTAGTTCTTCGACATATAATAATGGTAAAATATTTCCGATTTACGGTTTAAATTTCATCAAAATCGGACGACAATAGCATATAGCTCCCATAGGAACAATCGGAAAAATAAATGAAAAAAAATTATAACTTTGCTGTTTTTTAATTTTTTGTTTAGTTCTTCGAGATATAGTAATGGTTAAATATTTCAGAATTACGGTTAAAATTTCATCCAAATCGGACGACTATAGCATATAGCTCCCACAGGAACAATCGGAAAAATAAATAAAAAAAAATTATAACTTTTTTGTTTTTTAATTTTTTGTTTAGTTCTTCAACATATGGTAATGTTTATTTATTTCAGAATTATGGTTTAAATTTTATCAAAATCGGACGTCTATATCATATAGCTCCCATAGAAATAATAAAAATATATAAAATAACTATCTAATAATTGAGCTGCAAATCATCATAGTTTCAATGTTTTTCAGCATATACTCAAGTAAATCATAATTTAAATGTTTTCAAAAGTATTTAATTCATGCAATCAAAAAAAGAAATCAAAAATTGCACCATTCTTGCATTTTAAAAACAGCTGTTGTAGCGTTGTCAATAACAATATCGTTAAAAATCAGTATTTTCCGGAATTCCGGCAAATCATTTTAATCGCATTTATTTTAAATGCGGCATTTAGCCTTATGGGATTCCCTGTGTAAATAAATGCGGATTAGGCTTAATGCGTTTTAATGTGCTAAGATTGCAAAAATTATTTTCAAACATATTAAGGGTAGAAAATTAATAATATTAATATTAATTAATTGAATAGTTCGTAAAGCCTAATAAAATATTTTTTTTTTATAATTTTCTAAAGTATCTTTTCAACGCCTTAACGTCTAGAAATTTAGGAAACTTAAAAAAATATATTACCAATTAGTGTTGTAAACTGGTCCAGTATATAAGCAAGAAATTTAATAAAATGATATATTTACCTTTAAATCTGTGGGATTTCCAGATGCATTACCCAAATATTTCGTTTGTTCTATTTTGTAGTTTAGTTTTTCTATCATTTTCATTTTAATTTCAATTTGAGTGTGCATAGTTTTCAAATCATTTTGCAGTATACAAGATTTATTTTGAGAATTATTTAATTTTGACTTCGTACAATCATTATGTGTTCTTGCATTAAAAACAACACTTCTAAGTTTCTCGACCTCAAGCATTGATGACGCCATTTGATTTTGAACTTTTGATAACGATAAATCGACCCTACGTCGTCGCTCTTGTAACTTATTCAATAGTTTTAAGCGGTAAGATGTTGCCTTGTCAGTTATTAGATGGTCCTGTGCCAACTTTAATATGGCGTCATCAGACCGAAACTTTTGTGTCTGATATTTATCCAACGTAAAGTCAAATTTTCGGATTTCAGAAAATAGTCGGGAGCCGTCTCGCATTGCTTCTTGCAGATCTAATTCCGAACTATTTAAGAACTCTGGGAGCTCTTCTAATTTGCCTTGCAATCTGACAAGTGTTTCATTCTCATCTTGACCTTAGAAAAATAAAAATAAAACAATGTCATTTACAACATTTTCTGAAGGGTAACAAAAGAAAGCTGTCATAAAATTGGTTATAAGAACATCAAGAAAAAAACAAGATAGGAAGCTAACTTCGGCAAGCCAAATTTCATATACCCTTGCAGCTAAAAATTAAATGTTCTTGAACACATTAAAATTATGATTTACTTGCGTATATGTCTAAAAACATTGGAGCTATGATGATTTGCAGCTCAATTATTATATATGTAGTTATTTTATATATTTTTATTATTTCTATGGGAGCTATATGATATACTCGTCCGATTTTGATGAAATTTAAACCGTAATTCTGAAATATTTAACCATTACTATATGACGAAGAACTAAAAGAAAAATTTTAAAACAGCAAAGTTATAATTTTTTTTGTATTTGTTTTGCGATTGTTCCTATGGGAGCTATATGATATAGTCGTCCGATTTGGATGAAATTTAAACCGTAATTCTGAAATATTTAACCATTACTATATGTCGAAAAACTAAAAAAAAAATTAAAAAACAGCAACGATCCGGCTCGTTCCGACTTATATACTACCTGCAATAGAAAGACAACTTTTGGGAAAGTTTCATGCAGATAGCTTTAAAACTGAGAGACTAGTTTGCGTAGAAACGGACGGATTTCCACGCAAACTAGTCTGCCAGACTCAATTAGTCTATCTGCATGAAACGTTCCCAAAAGTTGTCTTTCTATTGCAGGTAGTACATAAGTCGGAACGAGCCGGATCGGACGACTATAGCATATAGCTCCCATAGGAACAATCGAAAAAATAAATGAAAAAATGTACACGCATTCTGTTTTTTAGTTTTGTTAGTAATGGTTAATTAGTTCAGAATTACGGTTAAGATGACTTGCAGATTAAAGTTTCGATAGTTTCGATGGCAGCTATATGATATCGTTATCCGATTTCAATATTATTTAAAGCAATTAGAAAACTCACTCAATTAAAGCCAACTCCACTCATAGAAAGCTCTAAAGCCCAAAACCGAGGTATGATCGTCAAAGAAGTTTAAGTTAAGAAGCGAGTTCAGTTTGAGACTTGTCTTAAGACAATCAGTGTTCTTCCAAATAAGAAATAATTGTAACCAGTTTAAAAATAAATTAAATAAAGTTTTTTATATTAAACTTATGGTTCGGAAATTTAATTATATATGTCGGAGAACTAAATTCATCCCCTTGTAAGTCGTCATTGCTGGTGAATTGATCGTTTGGTTCTTGATTGCCTGAACTTAATTCTGGCAAATGCAGCGAGTCTTCGATGCTTTTGTTGCTCATAATTCTCTCTTAAGGACCAAACACGTGTCTATCTCACGTCACGCTTCAAGCCAGAAGAAGAAAAGAGAGACCAAACCTAGCAACGCATACGAAGCCACACTCGGTCTCAGCTCGCAAACTGAGTCCCCATTCTACCAAAACTAATATCAAGTATATCTAGTATACCAGCACAACCCATGGTCATACCTGTCGAAATGCTGCACTACATACTCTCCGACACATGTTTAAAAACATTGAAGCTATGATGATTTGCAGCTCAATTATTTGATAGTTCCTATGGCAGCTATATGATATCGCTTTCCGATTTTAATAAAAATATAATGCGTAATTCAGAACTGTAAAATTATTAATCAGTTAAAAAGAATTTCTAAAAAAAAATTACATTATTTTTAATTTATTATTTAAAAAAAATGTTTGTTTAATATTTTTATTGGAGCTTTATGTTAAGCTCGTCCGATTTTGTTGAAATTGAAACCGTTATTCTGAAATATTTAACCATTACTAACATTACTAAAAATCAGCAAACGTATAATTTTTTTTCATTTATTTTTCCGATTGTTCCTACGGGAGTTATATGCTAAAACTAGTCCGATCCGGCTTGTTCCGACTTATGTACAAACTCCAATAAAAAGACAACTTTTGAGAAAGCTTAATGCAGATAGCTTTAAAACTGAGAAAATAGTTTGCGTAGAAACGGACGGCAGGCGGACGGACAGACGGACAGACAGAAGGACATGACTCGATCGACTCTCCTAGTGATGCTGATCAAGAACATATGTACTTTATACGGTCGGAGATGTCTATTTAGCTGCGTTGCAAACTTCAAACTGAAATTATAATACCCTGTGAAAGCGTACAACAACTACTTAATAATTTTTGAAATTCTTTTTTAAATGTCTACAAAAATATAGTTTATAAATAAAAATGTTATACTGAAGTTTTTTATTAATTAATAACCCCTTTAAAATAAAAGACAATTTTTTTTTAAACGTAGCGACAATTTTATTTTAATTAAATGAGAGTTCATTTACATTGGAAATAATTAAATAGTCAAAAATTAAATATTCTTTTAAACATTAAAATTATGATTTACTTGCGAATATGTTTTTAAGTTATGATTTACTTGCGTATATGCTTAAAAATATACGAAAGTAAATCATAATTTTAATGTTTTAAAAAACATTTAATTCTTGCAATAGATGCAAGGGTATATGAAGTTCGGCTTTCCGAAGTTTGCCTTCATTCTTGTTTTTTTTTTTATATATAAATTTTATTGTTTTCATGAGAGCTATATGATATAGTCGTCCGATTTTAATGAAATTTAAACCGTAATTCTGAAATATTTAACCATTACTGCATGTCGAAGAACTAAAAGAAAATTAAACAAAAAGGGAAGCAAACTTCAGCAAGCCGAAGTTCATATACCCTTGCAGCTATTGCAAAAACTTAATATTACATTTTTTAAATATCTTAAATAAATAAAATAACGGAAGGCACGCCGATAGCATGAAACTCCAAAATGGGATATGCGGAAATTAAACGTAACTAATACAAAGCAAGACCAACGATTAACAATTTTCAACTGACGTCAACTAAATTAACTAGGTTAATTACAAACATTACATTTCTTCTAAAATGTAGGAAGACAAAAATAATACCCAAATTCATAAAAGACAGCACTAGGAGCAACAAATTATTTACAGATGATAAAGACATATATTTTGACATAAACAAATTACTGGACAAACACATACATTTCTACCATATGAAAATATTAAGCTTGCTTATAAAACATAATCATCATATACAAAAAACTATTATTGACAAAGAGAAACAAGAAGAGGCGCGAACCCAATTCTCTTTACATATCAAAGACCACAAAATATCAAACAAAGAAAGTGCATTTGATCGTGCAATACTAGACACAGTGGGACAAACAAGGAGATTTCTTAAAGAAAATGACGACATTTTAATATTGACCTCAGACAAAGGTAACAAGACGGTAGCTATAAACAAAGATGACAACCAAAAAATAAAGGACATATTAAAGGATATGAACACATACAGGACATTAAGGAAAGACCCCACATCTAGACTACAAACAAAATATAACGAAATATTGGACAAACTATTAAAAATTGAACTTATCTCAAGGATCGAAAGAAATATGTTGATAACCACCACAGCATTACCACCACGAATATATGGACTACCCAAAATTCATAAAAAAAGAACCCCTCTACGACCAATCAGCTCCTCCATCGGATCACCGTCCTATGCACTATGCAAATACATAATTGACATATTAAACAAGAAAGGAAGCAAACTTCGGCAAGCCGAAGTTCATATACCCTTGCAGCTATTGCAAAAATTTTATATTAAATTTTTTAAATATATTGAATAAATAAAATAACGGAAGGCACGCCGATAGCATGACACTCCAAAATGGGATATGCGGAAATTAAACGTAACTAATACAAAGCAAGGCCAACGATTAAGAATTTTCAACTGACGTCAACTAAATTAACTAAGTTAAATACAAACATTACATTTCTTCTAAAATGTAGGAAGAAAAAAATAATACCCAAATTCATAAAATACACCACTAGGAGCAACAAATTATTTACAGACGATAAAGACAGACATTTTGAAATAAACAAATTACTGGACAAACACACACATTTCTACCATATGAAAATATTAAGCTTGCTTATAAAATATAAACATCATATTCAAACAAGAAAGAAAGCAAACTTCGGCAAGCCAAAGTTCATATACCCTTGCAGCTATTGCAAGAATTAAACATTTTTGAAAACATTAAAATTATAATTTACTTGCGTATATGCTTAAAAACATTGAAGCTGTGATGATTTGCAGCTCAATTATTTGATAGTTATTTTATATATTTTTATTATTTCTATGGGAGCTATATGATATTGTCGTCCGATTTTGATGAAATTTAAACCGTAATTATAAATTATTTAACCATTACTATATCTCGAAGAACTATGAAAAAAATTAAAAAACAGTGAAGTTATAGTTTTTTTCTACTTATATTTCCGATTGTTCTTATGGGAGCTATATGATATAGTCGTCCGATTTTGATCAAATTTAAACCGTAATTCTGAAATATTTAACCATCTTGAAAGTTATAATGTTTTTTTTATTTATTTTTCCGATTGTTCCTATGGGAGCTATATGCTATAGTCGTCCGATCCGGCTCGATCCGTCTTATATACTACCTGCAATAGAAAGACAACTTTTGGGAAAGTTTCATGCAGATAGCTTTAAAACTGAGAGACCAGTTTGCGTAGAAACGGAGCGTAGAAACGGACGGACGGACGGACGAACAGACGGACAGACGGACGGACAGACGGGCGGACAGACGGACGGACAGACGGACATGGCTAGATCAACTCTCCTAGTGATGCTGATCAAGAATATATACACTTTATAGGGTCGGAGTAGCCTCCTTCACTGACTGACTTACCCTTTGCAAGGGTATACAAATTATATTTTTGCTGTTTTTTTTTTTTTTAGTTCTTCGACATACAGTAATGTTTAAATATTTCAGAATTACGGTTTAAATTTCATCAAAATCGGACGACTATAACTTAAAGCTCCAATGGAAACAATAAAATTTATATAATTTAACTTTTTTTATTTTGTAATAGTTTTT